TACAACATGACATCGCCATTCTACTGATCTCACTACTCTTCTCAACAAATTTCCATGTTTTTGTTTTTTTTTGAATTTTTGGTCAGTTGAGGAATTTTTTAATCATACATATAGTTTTTAATATTCCTCTTTGATATGTTATAGGATGAGAAAGAGTTACTTGAAAATAATTGTTGCTCGATGCACTTAAAGCCTTGCATCTTGCGCAAGGAGGATAACTATTTTTTTGCCTTGTCGAAGTATCAGAAAGTGTTGGAAGAATACTTTATAAATAATCCAAATTTTGTGAAGCCAGCATATCGATTGAATGAGGTGAGATTTCTAGAGCCTTTTATATAATTTTGTTTGTTAATTTTTGTTGGCTTGTATTCTTTTCTTCTCGAAGCAATTTCTTTGATTTTTTGAAGCTTACGTGTTAACTCATGACTACAATAACATCAAATTTCATATAGCCTTTTGAATTCATGGGTTGGTATCGCTAAAATCATCTTTACTTTTTTTTGTTTTTATTTTTATTTTTGAAGATCAAATCAAATTTCTAGATCATGTAGCTTATGTTTGTTGGTATTCATGGTCAATTCTTAGATATTATTAAAAGGTAGTTTCTATTGCATGCACCCCACCCCCCCCACTCCTCTCTCTCTCTCTTTTTAGAGGGAGTTTCAACACATTGCTTACAACCCTCCATGGGCTTTATCAAAAGCAAATTTTAAGATTAGCTTGTAGAGTATATATAATTTTTATTTTGAATTCTTTTTGTTATAGCTTCTATCCTTTGAACTTATTTGAGTCTTGACTCTTAAACCTATAAATTAATCATGTTGTGGAAATCTATTTAACTTCCATATTTAAGTATATAAAGCTTTATATAGGAGTAATGCTATGCCTCCAAACAAATCCACACATAAAATGGATATCTTTGATTCTCTCGCACTATATCAACATTTATAGGGTAATTTCTTATTTTTATATGTGACATGCAGGCATCCAATCCAGATCACCAATGCGCAAGAATAAAAATATTGGGATTCAACATGTGGATTTGTTTGGATAGTGTAACTTTACATATATTTTAAAATGTAACCCATTGAGTTGGGAAATAGATGAAACTTTTGTAAACATAAAACATGAAAAACAAAATTAAAAATGAAAGCGCCCTAATTGAGACTGTCTTGTTGCCACTATTGCATATTTCACTATTGATTGTATAGAATTACAATTCTAATTTTCTTTCATAAGACGCCCCCTCTTTATGAAGAGAAAATATAGGGAAGCCAAAAAAATATTGTAAAAATTTGAAACTTTCTTTGATGAAAAAATCATAAATATTGAATGCCAAAACTAAGTAGGCATAGTGCATTTTCCTCCCATGATAAAATTAGGCTCCACAACTCAACATTTTGCATTGCCTATTGCAAGAATTTCATGTCTTTGATTCAAGAGCTTTGGCTTTTTTTTTTGTTTCTCATGTTTTTAAATCTTCTTTTACATTGTGTCAGGTGCAAGGCTGGATAAGCAGCGGCTTGCGAGATTTTTCGATATCGCGCTCTTCTGTTGAATGGGGAATACCCGTGCCAACTGATAATAAACAAACAATATATGTTTGGTTTGATGCTTTACTAGGGTAAGGCCGTTATTCAATACTTGAAGCATAAGTGGTGATGATAATAATGTTTAATTGGTCTTGAGTCGAGAACATCATCAATTTAATCTCCACATTATTTACATTATTAATCGTATTGAAAGTATTTAGGGACAACATTTTGAATTTTCCTTCCCCATCACACATATTGAGTGCTACATGAGTTCTAGAAATTGCAAAATTTTCTGCATAAGTTTTATCCGTCTTATCTTTTTCTACCTTCTATCTATTACCTTTATATTAAGGTGCATTACATACATGCCACCCAATTCTTATATATTTACAAATATAACGCTTGAACTTTACTTCTGACATTTGAATGACTCAAATATTTTATATCACATCAAAAACAACACTATTTTAACTTCTAAAAGTGAATTACACCTTTTCATGCATAGTTAAGGTGGCATGCATGTAGAAAATGAAGATTAGGTGTTAGATATGTCAATACATTGGAAATGGGTGGTATGTATGTAAATTTTCTTTACATTAATTTTATCTATATGCCTTGTTAGCGCATCTTACAACCTCAATTTATATGCATGACCATTTATCTTTACTTATAACTTCATAATCTTCAAATAGCTATTACTATCAGCATTTATGTAATATATTAAAATGGTTTACTTTATCTAATTCAATTTTGCCTTCCATTTTTGTTATCATTCTCACTTGTGTCTTTCATAGCATTCTTATTTATGCTCTCATCACCTTGTTTGTCAATGATTTAAATGTCACCCGCTACTCTGATCCATATAACAATTTTTTTTTTCTTTCCCTTCAATTCAGTCATTTAGGCAAATCTAACGCTGTTGTTGTGTATGAATGGAGAAATTTAATGCATTAATCCTTAATTGTTTTCTGCTTAAACAGATATGTTTCAGCATTACTAGATAAGGATGAACAACCGAGTCTCGAAAAGGCTGTTGGTGCCGGTTGGCCTGCTTCATTACATTTGATAGGAAAGGTATGAGGCTTCCGTTTGCTTGTGTTGAAGTAGATTAGAATTATTTGTATCAAATCAAATTTGCTCCTCTTAAGCATGCTATCCTTATGAAAATTTTCTTTTCTATTATAAAGTTTTTTTGCAGTAAATTATGTTGATTTTTGTATTTCATAACTGTTTCTATACATTGTTGTGGATTATTTCAACTGTGTGAGTTCAATACATTTCGTGATGATTTCTAATTTTAGCGTGCATTTGGGTGTTTTACAATAGATATTAATGAGAGAAACTTTGAAACAAATAAAAAATCATTAGTTATATTGAAATGATTTCTAGGTGTGTTTATAAATATCATAATAAATGAACAAATTTGATGAAGTGAACATGTAGAAAGGGTTGTTAAATAAAAGAAACGTAATTTTAAATACAAATATTATTGAGATATACAATAATTGAATGCAAGTTTGAAGACTTGCAAAGTGGATGGTAAACAAATATAAAATCAAGTCCTGATATTTATATTAAACAAGAGTTTAAAGATTTTTTTTTAAAAATTTTAAAGTGTATACAATTTTAAACTCTACTTCACGTGTATGCAATAAAAGTAAATGTATATGGTGAATAAATACTTTTAATAAGGTTCCAAAGATTAGAAGGTGTCATCAAATGATCGGTTAAATTTGATTGTCAACAATGTATGTTGTATGCCACTATTTATTGATGTCAACACTTGTGACTTTGTTTAAGGCATATATTCATCTTTGCCTTCAATCCTTATTTTGATTGGATAAATTGATACCTTTGCCTCTACTTTTATAATCCTACCAAAATTCCCTTACCTATACGAGGAAATGGGGTAATTATATGAATCACGTGCTAAAAAAAGGATTCAAAGATGGAAATTTTGGTACTGTTTTTTAAGAATAAAAAATATATGAGGATTGTGTTAATTATCCATGTGTCAAATTTATGAATTATAAATTGAAGTTATTTTAGTTGGTAATGAAATAAAGGCAAAATAAAATTATGAGTGTCAAAAGAGTAATTTTTTTAACGAAATATTTAAATGAGTTGGTTTTCATATTAAGACAATGAATGAAAAAAGTATAGAGGAAAAAAAGGTAGATCATCATATGATTTTAATTCTTATTGAAAATTTATAGAACTGAGTACTTCGAGAACCAACCACTTGGTAAACATTAAATAAAAGCACTTGTAAAATGTCAAAATGTAAAATGATGCTATTAAACATATATGTGATGGAGCATACTACTAGTTTAAAAGTAAGCTTGAACAATCAAAAATGTTTTTAGTTCCAATAGAATTATGTCTATGAACTTGATTAATTTCTTAGCAGTTATTAAAAAGATTTCCAAAAGAAATTACAAATGATATACTTGTTATATGCTAGTTATAGATGAAATAATTTTAATTGTTTGGACATATTTTGATATTATTTAAATTTAAAGAAATTGATGAAGTTTTTAGAAGATAAATTTTGATTACTAGAATTTAGGTTCAATCTATAATATGTAATTTTAATGGATCTGAATCAATAATATTAGTCAATAATGCATGAAGGTTTAGTATGTTTAGGTACTTCAGTCTCATACCCAAGACAATATATAACTTCTAATGTTAAAAGCTGAGTGGAGAAGGTAAAAGATACGTTAAGGAATCTATAAGATGCATAAATACTTAGAGGCAAATCATATGATTAGAATAAGATCAAATATGTTTTATGGATCCAATTCTTGGGAAACATAGAAGTCACTAAAAAACTTGTTGAGTTTTGAGAAAAATTAGAAGGTTGTAAAAAGTTCAACATTTTTCTTATCGATATCACATTATAACATTTTTTTGGTTGTGAAAAGCTATGCTTTGCCACAAAAATTAATGAAAAGGTAGCAGAAAAAACGTAGCCAAATAGAATCTTTAGATGCAATGCTAAAGTTAGGAATGGCAGAGTGAAGCAATCACATTAGAAAGAGATGGCGGGAGTAACACTTTTTGAATTTAAGATATTGAAAAATTAACTTGATTTGGGCTAGTACAAGCACAAATTATGCAGCCATAAGTGATCTAGTGGTTCATGTGAATTAAAAAAAAATTAAGCCCAAACTTCACTGCAAGAGTTCAGGCTAATGTCAAGAAAGAGCTTAAAAAATAGGCCCAAATATAAGAGCTTAATCAAAAACCCAAAAAATGGCCCATAATTTTGAAAATTTTGAATGCAATTTATATTTTGTTATTTTAATATCTTTATTTCTCACTTAGGGTCATGTTTGATCGATCTTAACATAATGAATCTTAAAAATGAGGGATTGAATCCTCTTCATTAATGGCTACCAACTTTGCCTTTTTTTATATTTTAAACACTAGTTCCCAACTTCCCTTACACCCCCTCTTTACATCTCTAGCACTCTCCTAGGCCAACCACCAACCCACTTTTCATATCCACCCCAAAATCTCATCTAAAGTTCTCAGCTAAACAAGGCAAGATTATGACCCAATATTATTCTCTACAACTACATAGACTCATCCAAGCCAAAACACCTATTCTAAATCATATAAGTAAACTTCTGAAGCTACCTATTTACAAGTATTTTAAGCCATTTACCTCATCTAAAATCCAATCATTTAAATGGTTCTTCAAATTAGCATAAACTAGCCCTTTCTGGAGTAGTCTTGGATTATAGCATTATACCAGACTGAACCCTCACCATTCTGCCAAAAACTCCGGAATCCATTTTTTAGATGTTAATCTAAAGATTAAAATCCTTTTTTTAACCCTTAATCTCACCAAAAACCTACCCACCATCATTAATAAGACTGTTGTATTAAGTCAATTATATATTTTTTATTCCTTCCCTAATTTGCTAATGTTTCTAGTTGGTTTCGGCAGGATATTTTGCGTTTTCATGCACTCTATTGGCCAGCTATGTTAATGTCTGCTGGAATAAGTCCTCCGAAAATGGTGTTTGGTCATGGATTCTTGACAAAGGTATGAGTACTCCATCAATATGTTAATTTTTAAATAACCTTCAATTATGATTGCAGTAGTTTGGATAGAAAAATGAAATGTTAGGTGCAAAAAAACATTTTTTGTAAGTTTATTGCCGTTTCACCTGTTGAACATGTATGTGATGGCTATCAATATTCCATACATTTTAAAACTGTTTCAATGTTTCGCTTTCATTAACTTATTAATTATTCGATCATTGTACGCTCAAATATATGAGTTTGTTAGTTCAAATTTTCTTTTTTAGGAGTTAGTTTTGTATAAGCCAAATCTTGGGGGTTACACTGGTGATTTTTCGCATACTCAACAGTTGCAACTGCATGTGATTTTTATTTTAAGAATATGCTGAGAATATGCTCAAATGAAGGATGAGGTGCTAGTTTCTTCATTGGGCATACCACATGTGCCAAGATATTTACATATCTGACTCCTAAATTTTGCTTTTTACAATTATACGACCCAACTCTTTCACATCACGTCAAAAATATAATCTTTTTCACTTTTAAAAAGTGAAATACACTGATATTGAAGTCAACCAAAATTCTGATAGGAAAAGCTGATTTTATCACTCAAAACAGCGAGGTTAAAATCAAGGCTTAAAACAGAAAAGAAAACACAACAAAACTCTAATATCCTGCCAGGGCTGAGTAGGAGAAGCCGTGGACAGCGGTGAGATGGGATTGGGATAGGTGGTGGTTGGTTGGATGGGTCTAGGGTGGGATTGCGGTACAACAGGAATGTGGGAAATGGGTTGCGGTGCGGCCATAAAGCTGTGGGAAGGTTAGTGGCACAGCAAGAAGGTGATGGGAGGGGTGGCGGTCCAGCAGGAGGTAGGAGGTTCTTTGCGATTCAACGAGATGGCTGTGAAGGTGGGTGGCACAAAAAGGAAGGCTGGAGGGAGGTTAAAAACACAGCAGGAGTGTAGGAGATGGTTGTGGTTCAACAGGATGTCTGTGGGATAGTTGACGGCACAAAAACAGGGAAGGGAAGGAGTGCAGGCGGGATGACAGCGAGTAGGTGAGGGAGATAAGGAAGGATACACACCATCTCGGGATGAGTTACAGCCAGAGCGCCTTCTTGCTGTCAGATACAACTCTAGAAGGGAAAAGGGAATGGCAGAGGCTGTCCTGACAGAAATCTCAAAGCCAAAAACTAACCCTAATCAACAAAAAAAACATATTTATATTGTAGATAGCTAGGAGGGGAAGGACCCTCCCTTGGTCGGCAACCCTAGCCGACCCTTGGATTGGTTGATCCTTGCAGTAGCTTGGCTGAATCGATTCTGCACTCTTCGCCCGGTTCAACACACTCAAAACAACAGGGTTACAATCAAGACTCAAAATAAAAAAGAAAACATAAAAAAAAACACTAATATCCTGCTAGGGCTGGATAGGACGAGCTGTGGACAATGATGAGATGGGCTTGGGAAAGGTGGTGATCTGTTGGATGGGTATAGGATGGGATTGTTGTAGAGATGAGTTGCGGTGCGGCTGGAAGGCTGTGGGAAGGTTGGCGGCACAATAAGGTGGATGGGGGGAGGGTGGCGGGCCAACAAGTGGGTGGGTGGTTCAGGATGGTTGTGGGAAGGTTGACGACACAGAAACAGGGAAGGGAAGGAGCGCTGGTGGGATGGCAGCGAGAAGGTGAGGGGGATAACGAAGATAACGAAGACAACGAAGGATGCACATCTCCCCATGACTAGTTACAGTCGGAGTGCATTCTCACCGTCAAATACAGCCCTTGAAGGGAAAAGAGGATGACGGAGGTAGTCCTGAAATAAATCTCAAAGCCAGAAACTAACCCTAATCAACAAAAAGAACGTATTTATATTATAGATAGCTAGGAGGGGAAGGCCCCTCCTTTAGGTGACAACCCTAACCCACCCTTGGACCGGCTGATTCTTGCAGTAGCTTGGCTGAACCGGTTTTGCACTCTTCAGTCGGTTCAACACACTCAAAACAGAGGGGTTACAATCGAGACTCAAAACAGAAAAGACATAACAAAACACAAATATCCTGCTAGGCCTGGGTAGGACAAGTCGTGGACAGCAGTGAGATGGGATTGGGATAGGTGGTGGTCTGCTGGATGGGTCTAGGGTGGGATTGCGGTGCAACACGAAGGTAGGAGATTGGTTGCGGTGCGGTTGGAAGGCTGTGGGAAGGTTGACGGCACAACAAGAAGGCTGGAGGGAAGTTGGCGGCACAACAAGAAGGCTGGAGGGAGGGTGGCGGTCCAGTAGGAGGGTAGGAGGTGGTTTGTGGTTCAGCAAGATGGTTGTGGGAAGGCGGGCAGCACAGAAAGGAAGGCTGAAGGGTGGTTAGCGGCATAACAGGAGGGTAGGAGATGGGTTGTGGTTAATTGGGATGGCTGTGGGAAGTTAATGACACAAAAACAGGAAAGGGAAGGAGCGCAGGTCGGATGGCAGTGAGCAGGTGAGGGAGATAAGGAATGATACACACTACCTCAGGATGAGTTATAGCCAGGGCACCTTCTCGCCATCAGATATAACTTTAGAAGGGAAAATGGGACGATGGAGGCTATCCTGACAGAAATCTCAATGCCAAAAACTAATCCTAATATAAGCGAAAAGATCATATTTATATTGTAGACAGCTAGGAGGGGAAGGCAGCCATACCCCTTTTCATGCATAGATAAGGTGGTTTGCATGTAAAAATTGAAGCTTAGGTGTTAGATATGTTAATACATGAGCATTTAGTGGTATGTATGTAAATCTTCTTTTTTTCTTCATTTTAATATATTAACTCTTGTTGATTATGTTTTGTAAGCCACATTGCATTGTGTACTTTTTTGGCCTTAAAACGCATATTTTCAGATTCATTTGAGCTATTGTGAAGATTTCTCATATTCTCGTATCCATCTTAAAAATCTTAGGACGGTATGAAGATGGGTAAAACATTGGGAAATACGCTCGAGCCGAAAGATTTGGTTAACAGGTTTGGGTCAGATGCTGTGAGATACTTCTTCTTGAGGGAAATTGAGTTCGGCAATGATGGCGATTTCTCAGAAGAACGCTTCATCAACACAAACAATGCACATCTAGCCAATACTATTGGTATGTAGAGTTGTGAATTTAATAATAAGCAAAGGATATTTGTATTAATAATTTAGGGAAATTTACATACATAAGAACATAATTCTTACATGTTTGCATATCTAACACCAAATATTTACATTAATAACACTTTAGTGTGATGAACCTATGCATGAAAATGTGTATTTAACTTTTTTAAAAATAGGTGATAGGGTATTTTTTATATTAAAAATTAGAGTGCTATGCAAATATTAAAATATGGGTTTTAGATATGTAAATAAATAAGAATTTTGTGGTGTGTATGCAAAAACCACAATAATTTATTAAGAATAAAAATGTTTTAATGGCATTTTATTCCCAACTTTTTGCAATTATGCCATATTGTCATGTCTGTATTATATTGTGTCTGTGTTTCACAGGTCTTTATTGATCTATAATCTAATTCTAGCTGATATGCACAGGAAATCTTCTAAATCGCACACTCGGACTCCTTAAAAAAAATTGCCAATCTACCTTGGCAGTAGATTCAACTATTGCAGCCGAAGGAAATATGTTCAAGGAGACAGTAGAAATATTGGTAGAATTTACCTATATTTTCTAACAATTGTCTTTAAGTTTTGATTTTTGGTAGCTGACAAAGAACTTTATGCTCGAAGATAAATGTTGAAAGAATTGCTAATATTTGTAGGTGAATAAGACGAAGATCCATTACGAGAACCTTTCGTTGTCCTCAGCTTGCGAGTGTGTGTTAGAAATTGGAAATGCTGGTAACCTTTATATGGATGAATGTGCTCCGTGGTCTCTTTTTAAACAAGGAGGTTCTAGTTATGAAAGAGCTGCAAAGGTGATAAATTCAAATTTAGATTTTTCTAAGTCGGTGTTTGGTAGCATACTATTAACAAAAAGATTCAACTTAAATCCAGCCAAATACCGAAAAAATGAAAACTAAATCTAACGCTACGTTAAATCAAATTTTCTCGCATTTCATGTCTTTTATGACGTAAATCCGGCTTTAGTAAATCCGATTACGAGGTGAAATTATTTTGTCGTCTCTCGCGAGCTCCTTCATCAAACACTGAATTTGTTAAATATGAATTTATCGGATTTGATAAATCTTATTTGACGTAAATCTAAGTTTCGCCAAACACCGTCTAAATATAGAAAAAAAATTATGTTTTTTCTTTAATTCAATCTACGGTGATCTCTCAGGTAATCCTTTACTCAAAATTTAGAGCACGCGTTCTTGTTCTTGATAAATATGATCAACCGAAATGAATTTGACCCTATTATAAAGCTCGCAATGAGACAATTTTTATGAGTTTTTGTGCCTTCCTCAAACATTTTTAAATGTTATGATGATGTGAACAACAATTGGATGATTTTCTTTGCATTTTAACTAATTTTCTGCTCCTAAGAAGGGTTAGAATTATAAAATTTCTTCATCACAGGACCTTGTTCTTATACTTGAAGCTATGAGGATTATAGCAGTGGCTTTATCTCCAGTTGCTCCAAGCCTATGCCTGAGAATATACACACAGCTTGGATTTTCAGAAGCTGAGTTTGAGGCAACAACTTGGGTATTTTTTTTTACAAATAAATCCTCCTCTATTTATTTATTACAATCATTATTCATTTAAATTTAAAATGCTTTGTTATAGAGTGATACAAGATGGGGTGGGCTTAAAGCAGGTTCAGTTATGGCTGAGCCTAAGCCAGTTTTTGCAAGGATTGAAATGAGGAAAGATGGTGAAGAAGAAATAGTAGAAGCTACAGAAAAGGTGTCTAAAGCCAAGAAAAAGAATTACAGTAAAGGACTAGTTCAAGCCTAATCATATATATATATATATATATATATATATATAATTGTATTTATTGATGTGACAAATTTTCAGATTTTGCTGTATTTCTGTATCATTGTCTACCAAGATTTTATCATTCCTTGATTAAAATAAGATTCCTATTTAGATTACCAATGTCTAATGCTCAAATTTGTATAAATTATGAGAGAGAAAGAGATGGGCTTTTACTACTCAATGTAGGTTGCATGATAAATTTATGAAGGATGTCAGACTTATATTTAATGTAGTAAATTTTTTAGTTATTAATTGTTTATGTATTTATTTATTATATGTGTTGTCATATGCATCAAATCTAATTAAGATGCTTTGAGCTTAAGCTGTTTTCTTGGATTTGTGTTCATGTTTTGGTCGAAGTTGGCTCGAAAAATAGATGAGGGTATTGGATTCGAAAATGCCACTGACACCATCAGGCTGTCATCGCCTGGCCACCAATGCTATGCTAGACCATCATCATTGTAGGGCTGTCAAAAAAGCTCGTTGTTCGCGAACAGTTCGTGTTCGGTTCGTCAATGAGTTCTTGTTCGATTCGTTCGATAAGTAAACGAGACAAACACAAACAAATTTTTTTCGTTCGGTTAGTTAAACGAACCAAACACGAACAGTGATGCGTTCGTTCGTGTTCGAATCGTTATTGTTTGAAATATAAAATAATATAAAATAATTATATATATAAATTTATTATATTTTAAAACATTAAATTTTATAAATTATAATATATAATAAAATAATAATAATAATATATTAATATACTATAGTAGTAATATACTAATATAGATATTGTATATTTATATAATATAAGTTATATAATTAATATATAATATTATTTTTATATATTAATATTAGGGATGTCAAATTGGCTCGTCGTGCGCGAACAGCTCGTGTTCGGCTCGTTCGTTAAGAAATGAACACGAGCTTATTTCAAACAAACTAAATTTTAAACGAACCGAACACGAACACAAGCTTTGTTCGTTCGTGTTCGGTTCATTTACACCCCTACATCATTGAGTTGTTGTCAATGGACATCAACACAATACTGATGACGTGTTTCCACCGTCTTTAGGTCGTTAATACCGAAACACTGTTGTTGGGTTGTCCTTTTATAAAACCATAATCACGTAATCAATGTCCAGACATCGTTGTAGAGATCAAATCATTATCATCGGCGCACCATCAGGCTGCCATCACCGGATCAGATCACTATTGTCTGGCTATCACAACTAATATTGTTGGATCACTTTTGCTTAGCAGTCACCACCATCGGGGACAATGAGTCTAGGTCTCCATTACACGACCATTATCGTCTATCGTCTTAGTAGGGTCGATGTCACTTCTCAATATTTTGTCACTCAAATGAAAGTCGAGTTAATTTAATCATTATTATAATACTCTTTTTGATTGTTCAAGAGCAGGTAAAGTCTTATAACATACTTATGAATAATTGAATCTTTTTAACTGAGCTAGGTATTGTAATTTTTTCCTTTTAAATTTTTTTACGTAAAAACTTATGAAGTCCTCTCTATCAATTTTTCTTTTATCAAAATATGCACTCACTATTCATACAATGTCAAGATATTAATATATAATTTTATCGTCGTAAATTGTCGTGGCACGCAAGAAAGAAAAAAATAAGAATTATGTAATATTTATGTAAATTTCTTTTTTAATATTTTGTTTTAGGGCCCAAGGTAAGCCAAAGTGAGGTAGCTTTATTTTAAATGTTTGAATTATTAAGAGATCAAATGTAAATTGACAAATGCTTTCAAAAATAATATAGTTTTGCCTTTTCAATTAACATAATTAATAGAAATATGTTGTTATAAAAAGTTTAGATTCAAATCTTACACCTTAAAATTATATTTGGACTCTTAACTAGTTAGTTTTTTGGAATTAAACAAATTTGATCTTCAATGAAGAAATAATGGTATGGGAACACAAAAAGGAAAAGTATAACTTTAGCCATTGGGTCATAACACTCAATGCAGCACATATCATCCCTAAACAAAGTAAATGAGTCAAGCGAAGATCGGGTCATGTCTAATTTGAGCTATGCTCATTTAACAAAATACAACCTCAAGCTCGAATTGAAAGCAAATGACAAGCTCAAGCTCCACTTGTTGTACTAACAGTAGCTTACGAGCTCAAATTAAATTGTCGTCGAAGCTCACCAGAGAAGTCATTCAAGTACTTGATGGCACAAGCGATGGAGAAGTACCATGGCAACTGACTGGAGAAGGCATCGATGCAACCAAAACTAGTCAAACCAGCTCGTGAGCCGATGAGTGGAGCCTTCATGAGCCCGAGCTTGCGACACAATAAGCTCAACTCACGAACTCATTAACACGTCGAGCTTGAACCGGCTCGGCTCGCTTACACCCCTTATATGACTCATGTTAACATATTTATTTACATTAAGTTGAGACTAAATTAATCCTAGCATCTGAATGTCTTGAAATTGAAATATTATTATTAGATTTCATTATACAACAATGGTATTATCACTAAAAGAATTAATAGTAACACCAGAAATACAGGAAATCCAAACATACAGATATGCTGAAGTTCATTTTTTATATTTGCGCCCAGAATTAGATTATTTATTATCCATGCTTTCAATGTTTTAAAACTACTCATCATTCTTTCACTACAATTAAACTAATGGAGTTTTACAAAATGAACCTATTACTTCCCTAAAGTCCTTTATTGGGGTGGTACAGCTTGAAAATAACAGAAGTACAAATAGTTGCGAGTCAAAAAAGCCACACTCACATGAAGATAACACATTAAAATTTGCATAAACTTGAATAATATTATGAGGATCCATTATATTTGTCATTGTAAACCAATGTTTTGATGATAACAATGCCTTTTCTTCAAGGCCAAGACTTCTAAAGATGTATTCATCAGCCAATTCATAGGCTACGAATGCGTGCAAGATATAGAAAGACATCTATGGCTTCGAGCAAGTACCTCGTGCTTGGTATCACAAACTCTGACAATTTGTAGCTTCTAGCTTCACCAACTCTCTGGGTTAATTTGTGAAACACTTCTTCGTCTTCTTGTTCATATATTAATGATATCGTTATCATAGATAACTTAGACATCATTGTATAATGACTTTATTAAATATCCTTGCTCGACGATTATCTATCTAGTAACATTTTTTTTTCACACTAACATAATTTATGCCACTCTTGTGACTACATTGCTTGTTACATCATCCACCCTTGTCACTCTAGCTCCCTATTCATCAAACTAACTAATTACAAAGTTGTTGTGGAAAGTCTACAATATTTGAGTTTTACATAGCAAACGTAGCCTTCGCAAATGATAGATTGTCTTAGTCGATGCATCACTCAACTGTTAAATCATTGGACCATAGCACAACGGCTCTTCGTGATTCATTACTCCAACTACATGCATTCTCTAATGTCAATTAGACAGATAACAAATATTACTTCACCTCTATAAGCACCCACATCATATATTGTATTTTAAGCCTCCATCGAGTGTAATATCGTCCTCTTTCCACCATAATTGCTCGACTTTATTAGGTTTCTCCCCTACTCAACAACATCAAATACTTACATGCACTCCATACTCTACAAGTCAATTCTCCATTTGACAAAAAGAGAAATGTTAAATTTGTTATAAATATGTTAAAATGTTGTAATCAAACCTTAATGAAAATATGAGAACATTTACAATGCCCCGAAAACTCGCACCTATGTTTCCGGCTATATATGTTTGATTCATAATTTATATACTTCTGAATTCTTCAAGCTAAGGAAACAGATAAATTACCAGGCAAAAGTCTTGCCCGGCGGCACCTCCTCGTCGTCCTTCCCCAACCCAATATAGTTGTTGTAGTAATCCCTGTTGTCCTACTTTCCTCCTCTTTTTGCGGCGAGCAAGTCTCGACCTCAGTAACAGTGAGGGCTAAACTTATATGCTTTCGCCTACCCCTTGCACTCCAACTCGACGCCTTCTTGCTCCTGCTCCTTGATAAACCAGTTTTCCCTAGCTTTCCCGAAGCTCTCATTATACCCTCGAAACTCTGAATATCCTCAGATATCTCGTGCCTAGACAATGATGAGAGGCCCGGCAGTATATCCTTTTGAAAATCTCTCCGTTGCCGCCTTTTCCTCACCAGACCCTTTCGAGATCTTGTCGGCGGCAGCACAACAGTGCTTGTGTTATCATAGTTGTGGTCTTCTCGCAGCTTATGGAACAACTCACTTTCCTTGGTTTCTTTCAACTTCAGTGTCATGTATTCAAACATATCCAAGCAATTATCAACATAGTGTGGAGATGTACCTCTAGAGATTCCTGTATTCGCTTCAGTCGATGTCGCAAAATCAGCAAACCAATGCAAGTTACTGAACGAAGTTGGAATCGACGGGCGAGTAAGGTTATGAGAATGATGGCCGTCGCAGATAAGCAACGACATGGCGACAAGATTGTCTGCTGCCTCTCTAATAAGAACCTCTTGGCTGCCATCTGTTAGCTGGAGGTCACCTTCTTTGTCAGCAATAATCAAATTATAATCTAACACTTTGCTTTCTTCTTCAGCAGCAGTAACGCCCTTCTCAGCTTCAGTATCACATAGTCCATCCAAATCCATATTGAGAGATAATGGTAACTCATCTTTAAGCTGAGAGGAAGACTGTTCAATTTCTGCAGAGTTAGATTGAGCTGGGTTTTTTCTGAGCCCATAGGGCTCTATCGACTGCTTCACACTAAGAGTATTTGCTGCATAAAAATCAAAACTTGGAAGTAGCTGACCCGAAGTTCTAGTGTGTTTTTCACCATTTATATTTATCGAATAGAAGTTGGATGGGACGGAAATGCTCGAATTAACCAAGCGAGAAAGATTTGCAAATAGAGCAGGTATTTGAGAAGCGGCGAACTCAGAGCTGTTCAAGTTGGGCAGCTTTGAAGTTCCTTCAGAGATATCAGTACCCTGACTCGGCGTTTCTCCGATCGATTTATAGCTCCTACTTTGCCTGGGAAAAATAAATTTGTCACAAATCTCGGGTTTGTTGTTTACAGATTGAGATATAACTGAGAATTCCTCACTACATAATCCTGTAAGTGAACCATTTGCATTGCTTCTAATCTCACCTGCAAAGGATAGGAGCTGGTGAGGATCATAAATGGCGCAGAAAAGAGCACAGATTTAACTGATGGAGACTGGTAAGAGAGTTTCAGATTACATAAAAAGCAAGATAAAAGAGATGACTAGATTAAGACTGTAAAAAGTAAGCTCAGTTCAATGACAAGCTAATTTCAGTGAAAAAAAAAATCAGATTATAACTTTCTTATGACAATCAAATGTTGGCACATTTGATTGTAAGTTGGATGGATCGTGATTGACTCAGTTTGGTCCACTGTTCCCATTATTTGATCGTTTTAGGCATTTTGAGAGTCGCAAAAACTTACGCAAGATTCATGCCACTCTCAAAATTCATAGCTATTTCAGAAATTTTTTTTAAATTTTATGAAGCCACCACTTATATCCATTATGTTTAACATATTAAAAATGATGACATTGTCACCATCAGCATCAAAGTCTTATCCAAATCATACAATGTTGGCTTTCTAGCTCTTTAATTGCAATTCATTCCTTATAAAAGAAAAATAAAAAAGCACCATAATGAACTAATAAAATGGATTAAAGAATGGTATCAGACATACGAATTTTTTGACATTATCTTTTTAGAATTTACCTTTCAAAGCCCTCTCACTACTTGAGCTTTATTTTGACTTTTGAGGTGTTATACATGGCAATCAACGTTTTTTTTCACAATTAAATAATGAATTATATTGCACCGATACAAACATGGGAGACATGAACACATATTAGGCATGCCGTTATACTATTATATTTTAAAATTTTTAGAAAATCCTGTTGTAATTACACAAATTAAATATATTTGAAAAAATTTCAGATAATATTTTATTTTAATTACTAATAACATAAAATATATGATTAAATTTATCAAATATCATAAACTCAAATAAAAAATATATATATATATTCATATTATATAATAAAATGTTAGCTTGAAATTGAGAAAACTATTTCTTTCATAAAAAAATTAAAAAGTAAATTATAAAAACCATAAGAAAATAAAGCAAAAAATAAAAAATAAAATAAAATTATTGCTAATTAGCTATTTAAGTTATTTAATCAATATATTTTAAATAAACTAAAACGGATTACTTTAATTAAGTTCTTTAAGTTATTATAATTTTCATTTCAAAATTTATTATTCAAGACATGTATCTTGGACACTTGCGTCAATTATTATTATTTTTTTTGTTTGTTTCAAATATAAGCATAGCGACATATCTCACATATGTTGGGCAAATACATCTGTTTGTCGTGACGTGCTTCATTATTATGGAGTGTCGGTGCATCATAAGCAACATAAAAAAACTACTCGTACTCTAATGGTATCACACCACAAATTTACTATCATGATAAATAAGGCCTGAGGATGATTCATCTTACCTCCGTATGACATGCACAAAGTCTAAAATCACATTTATTTAAGAAACTTTTTATGGGTACCATTCAAACATATTTCATATTCAAAAACTTCAACAAAAAGGTATTTTGAAATAAACTAAAGGAGCATGTCTATACATACCATCCAATTCCTATTTATTTACATATGTAACATCTAAATTCTGCTTTTTATATTTATGCCAATCAAATCATTCATGCCACATCAAAAATAGCACCATTTTAATTAAAAAAAATGTGAAATGCACCTTTTCATGCATAGTTAAAGCGAATGTTCAGCTGATAGATGTATTAATACATAGGAATTTAGTGGTATGTATGTAAACCTTCCTAAACTAAAATAATATAAAAAAGGAGTTCAGGAGCCAATTTGACAGAGGCAAAAAGGAACATGGCAGCCTGATGCACATCTCCAATTGGTCACCCATCTTGTGATGCCAAGATTTAGGAGCGTAAACGAGTCAAGCCGAGCTCGGGCCACCCTCGGCTTGAGCTTGAGTTTCACTAATTAATCAAGTTGAGCTCAAGCTCGAGCTTAATTCTACGAGTTTGAGCCAGCTCAGGAGATCGCTTGTGTAGTATTAAAGAGAGAAAATAAAGAAATTTAAACTAGTGTTATACTGAAAAAACAAATATAATGAACATTTAAAGGATAATTAATAAGAAATCACTTGATATAAAATATAAAATAATATTTTTTAAACATTTTTAATAATTTAAAGAAAGATTCTTGATTTTTAATATACTTTATATACATTTTTTATTAATTATTTTTTAAACGAGCTAATTCACGAGCTAACGAGTCGAGTTGGGTCAAGCTTGAGCTTGGCTTGTTAGTTCATCAAGCTCATTTCAAGAGCCACTTATCAAGTCAAGCTCAAGTTGGCTCACGAGTTAGCTTGGCTCACTTACACGCTCAACCAAGATTGATGAAATTCTTCATAAAGAACCATGGCATTTGATTTCACAAAATCACTATGCAATATTACTTAAATCAAATCAAACAATTAATTTACACTATAATTCAATAAAATCCACAAATACGAACATTTTCTCGAATCTCAACATTATGCTAATACGAACATTCAAGACTGACATGAAAATTTTGCAAAACTAAAATAACCTTTAAACTTATGTATCATCCTACACATGTCCGACACACTTTAGATCAATCCACTGATCAGGTGAGCCAATTTTCGGATGAGGAATGACAAGTCTAGTCTATTCTAGATGACAAGTCTATTCTAGAAGGAATAAGAAGAATGAAAGCCGACTTGAGCTCGGGAACTTATTGGATGATATATTGGTTACTACTGGCAATGACACTCATCTTACCAATTTATTAGCCGGCTCATTTCCTAGAACTAGAGACAGAGGCAAGACAAAATTGGGTCGCTCTCTAGCTACCTGATACTACGTATTTTAGCACTTCTGGTTTTTTCTTTAGGTCTCTCATGTAATTTTCTATATTTTCTCTTTTTTTGGAACAATTTACATGTGGTGGTTATCGTGTGGGCAGTGTACCATGCTTGGGCCCTCCCACACAATCTATTTGTATCCTTCTTTCTTTTTAATATATTAGCCTTTGGGCTTTCTCAATATATATCTATATGTGTGTGTGTGTGTGTGAAATTAACAGAAGACCTGATAAATTCCAAAACAGCTGAACCTTAGCTTCTCATACAAATTTTCTTTCATAATTTCTGAAAATGATTATCTACTTGCTATTCCTAAACAATTCTATATACCCACATAAGTAGTGCAAATCCATGCAAATATAAATTTTAACAAATATGAATCCAAACTATTAAAAATAGCCGTTAACCAGTAAATATCACCAACAATAATTAGAAATTTACCAGATAAATTAGTAGATGATGACCGCCCTTGGAAGCAATCCACCTTATCCCAATTTCCCAAGAAGATATCTGAATGGAGCTGATGCCTCATAATCTCTTCATGCTCCATTGTTGAGCCATTATCTTCAACAAAACTTTGAACTTCGCCTTCCTCATAACTCGAAAGTTTTAAAGGTTCATTGAGATCACACAGCCTCAAACTACTATTTATAGTGCTGTCAGCTTCGCTTCTGAGAGACAGCTTCACATTATTATCACCTTCAGTATTATGCATTAAAGGTTCGTTCAGTTCTTCATTTATTACATCGTTGTCCATAGCAATGTACGCTTCAGCAGAGCAGGAAGGCGAAGATCAAACTTCTGTTTAGTCAAATTTATAGCTTTAGGTTCCAAAAGATTACCCTCTATAGAGGAATCTGAAGTTTCTACAGGTATTTGAAAATGTATTGAACCACTTTCTCTCAAAAGTTTTAAGGGTAATTCCATAGCTTTGGCTGTAGCAGCATGGCTGCTAAGTGAAGAGAGGCGAGGCATCCTCTGAAACATTTCAGAACCTTCAGAAAACACGTGGGACTGAAATTTGTTGCATGGTTTCAAATTTTCTCCATTTTTAAGTTCATTCATCAATTCCTTTTGTATGTTATAAAGTCGGTGAAGTTCGGAGACCTAAATGATTCCAAAAACAGGAAGACGAAATCAGTAAAATGAATCATCAAGCATAATGCTCAAAAAATAGGAGGATATATTCCAAGCGCGAGATTTTGAATGTTAATTGTTTACTGCTATTTTAGAAAATTAAAAGAAAATGCTTTACATTCGCTCTATGTACATTGATAAAAATATGTGAGAAATCTTTCAAGCTCTGCAAAGGTCTTGAAATAATATACATAACTGATGTTAGGATGAGCCGTTCTCCAGAAAAATTAAAAAGAACTAATAGATCAGTAAGTTTGATTTGATAAACCTTAACACATTAGGATGAAACAAACTGAGGCTTACATCCAACCAAAGAGGTGTGCAGGGGGATTTGATCATGATGGAAAACATAAGAACTCACATCCAACCTGAGAGCTAATCAAATGGGGAGATTCATTCAAACCTGAACATACTCGAACAGAGAACATAAGGATTCACATGCAGCCCAAAAGATGAACAGGGTAAAAATGCTAAACATCTGCTCTATATACATTGATAAAAATACATGAGAAATCTTTCATGCTCTGCAAAGGTTTGACATAGCATGCATAACTGATGCTAGAATGAGTCGTTCTCCGAACAGACAAAGAAGAACTAAGAGATTAACATTGGGCCAATTATTTTCTAGATCGAAGATGACGAAATTGTCACTTAATACAATATCTTCATGGGATATGCATGAGATTCTCACATGATGCCCACAATATCCCTGAATAAGAAACTAAGACGAATAATTGTGTGTGCAACCAAGATAAGAGATGGGATCATCCACAGAAAAAAATATAAAGATTGGTTTAAACTAGAGCAATGACTCTTATACCATGATAGGAATTACAAAAAAGCAACATCTTTATTTGAAAGAGAGTGATATTAGTGCAAACAGGTCTCTATTAACGCAAAAAAAAAGAGCAATAAGTTAAAAAAAACAAATATCCTCCATAATCAGAATATATTATAATAATAAATACTATAAATTCCGAATAAATACTAAACATATGGAATAATATTATCATGAAAATCTAATAATTTTAATAGCGCTATCAGTAAAACCAAATCTAGAAGCCGAAAAGAGGGAAAAATGACCAAATTTTCTCTTATTAAACTATATGCAACATCAAAATTCCAAAAGTAGATACCTGTTTTGTAAAAGTAGCTTCATGTTCAAGCATCGTCTGTTTTAGCATTTCCTTATCACACAATGAATACTCATTTGATTCTCTTAACAACGACCCGTCATAGAGATGACCACTTAATACGTTATCCTGATAGAGCCAGGGCCAACTATTGCTCGAATGCACATTTTTATATCCAATTGCATTATGCATTGGAAGATAACTCTTAAATTGAACTTTGGTACCCATTCCTACAAAAATTGAACAAGTAAATGAATAAAATATCTCAAATAATTAATAAATATCTCCCTGGCACACATTAGATGGCACAATAGAATGCAGAACTTGCAAAATGTTCTTCATGATGCATTGAATAGGAAAGATCTGTGCAGACTCACATACTAACATGTTCCTCCGAATGTCGCTTCATAACTTAAAACCTCCACAGAAAGTTAAAGATTCCTTTTTTAGTCCTTTGGAAAAGTAAGCAAAGAGAAAGAAGAGGGGTATGTTATGATCTTAATTCTTGAATCTTGATAAACAGCAATTAGAGAATTCCAACAATTACAGAACTTGAGCGGGGGGAGGAATGGAGAAGAAAAACTCAGAGTGAGAAGAAATAAACAGCAATTCGAGAATTTCTGGAACTCCAGAAACTAGGAAGAGGGGGAGAAGAAGAAACAAGGAATAGCGAGAGAAGCTTACCATATTTTCATTCCATTCCCTGAATGTATCTAAATGAGACTATTTATAGAGATACAATAATTATCAACTTCATTGTTACTATTTTCTAACTAATTAACTATGTGTATTAATCTAATTCAATAACTAACAAATATTGTATCAAATCAGGGTACCTCTTATCTAATGACCACACTATGAGGAAAAAGATAAAAAAATCTCAAATTGTTAAAGCTTCAAACTGGAAAGCAATCAGAATGATCAAACAGTGGGAAGTCTGTACCCTTTTAGAAGATTTTTTAGATAAAAATATGTGAAGTACACAGATTATCTATTAGTAGATATTAACTAACAAACTATATCCTAAATCTTTATGTTGGAGAAAAAAAAACTTAAAAACCTGAATGTCAGATCACAAAAATCATATAACAAAACACAAAGAAATCCCTCATACTTCAAAACCCTAGCGAAAACGAAAAATATCTTTAGTTTCTAAAACGAATAAAAAAAAGAAAAGGAACAAAATCCAGAAAATAATTAGAATCAAAACCAAGTCAAAAGTCAACAACAGACCAGAATGAGAAAGAAAGAAACCGCACAAAACCTCATCTATAATTCCACATCGCCTCCCAAGAATCAAAACAGGAACTTTTGAAATCAAATCGATCAGAAACGAAACCCACATAAAAAATTCAGCAAAAAGAAATTACCTTGACTCAAAATACCCTCTCAGCTATCCAATTTTTGTAAATGCGGTGCCACCGGTTCTGCATCAAGCCATGAAGAACCCAAAAGCACATTACATCTACAGAAAAACTGTAACCAGAAGCAAGCCGGGAGAAAGTAAAGCCTGAAAAGGAGGGAGCTTTTCTCAACCAACGGGAAGAAAAAGGCGAAAGGGGAGACGAGAAGTGGGTCACAATGCTATAATAACCCCATGGCAACTGAAAGAAGGATGAAATTTCAGATTTTTATGGATTTGTTGCGCCAACGATACATATAAAGAGGAATCCCAGATTACAAAATCTCCAACAAGAACGAAGGACCTTCTTAGAACAGTGACATCCGATATGTCACCATCCAGCGCATTTATTTTTAGTTTGTTACTCAACCCACAAAACAAGGCGGTAGAATCTTTCTCATTTCACCTACTGATTTCTTTTTTATAAATAATGATTTGCAAAAATTATATATATATCCCACATAATTTTTAAATATTTACATATCTTACACATAAACTATAATTTTTACATTCCCCCCATTTTAATTAGTCATGACAATATGTATTTATTTTATTATAAGTTAATGATAATAATAATTTTTATCTAAAATAAATATTTTGAATGTTTTAAATGTAAAAGTTTAAATTTTAGTTGTTGGATATATAGAAATTTTGGGATATGTACCAAAAAATAGTTTATTAGACTATTTTATTAAATTTTATTGGTAATACGTCATTAATCTTAAATTTATTTTGAGATTAATGTAATATGTAAATAAATTAAATAAATTTTATGTTGCATTCATTTTAAATAAAATCAATATATTTTTAACAATTTTTGTAACACATTTTAAATTTAATTTGAATGTGAATTTGTTATTTTTTTTTATTATATGGGATGAAAATAAAACTCTTTCAACTTTAATTAGCTTTTCTTTTGAAAAGACTTTTGAACACTTTCTTTTCTCTTTCCCAAATATTTTTTAAAATTCCACTTATTTTCTTTTATATTTGCAAATGGAAATATAAAATAATAAATAATTTTAAACATTAAGTGATCGATGAGTATACTAATCATCAAACTATTGCATGCCGCAAAATGTATGCATTTAAATATGATTAGTACTGGTTTGCAATATAAGCAATGTTGTTGGAATCTTATGAAATTAGCTCAATTGCTACTCTCCTATACATATATATCTTCTTTTTCTAAAAAAACAAAAAAAAATATTATACATTTGTGTGTGTAATTCTCATATTTATTATTGATGCCCAATTTTTAGTTTTCAAATCATAGAAAACAAACAGTCACCCAGCTTATCAGTAATTGATTTCTCATAGCAGCTTCTTGAGGTAGCTAAGATGCAACACTTATTGATAAGCTGAAGCTGCCCCAAACAGACCCTTAGTCATAGAGTTTATAAGATTACTAAAATAATTACCAATTATTTTAAAAAATTGAGCTTTGATAGTTCTACATCAGGACTATTTAACTATTCAAGCCCCAAGCCCCAATTTAAAAAGTCTAAGGACTATTTTGACACTTTCATAAACTCTGAGACTAAAACTATCTCATGTAAATAGTATGGACTATTTTGACACTTTATTTTTAAAAAATATATAAAAAAAAACAATCCCTTAGTTATAACCCTTTTTTTTCACTTTCCGACCCTTCTGTTTTTATTTGTAACAAATTGAGAGAAAATGATCTTATATAAATGGAAAATTTGGCATTTACGTGCATACCCCGCAATTCTTGTGTATTTATATTTCTAAAATCTAAATTTTCTTATTTACATATATAACCCTGGAATCATTAATTTCATATAAAAAATATCACTATTAACTTTTCATAATAGAAGTACATAAGTTCCTGCATATTATACGACACCCTAGTGTTATAAATGTAAATATTAAACTTTTAACTGCTAAATATGTAAATAAATAATAGTTAGTGGTGTGTATGTAAATTTCCATTAAAAATTTACCTTTTTTATAATTCCTAAGAGACTTATAAATAACTTTCTTTGCATCCATTTTCTATGGAGTGCAATGAGTTTATATTTGTACCCGACGATCAAGGAAACTTATCCGATTTTATATATTAATTATTAAACA